GCACTCTTTTAATTCATGGAGATGTTCCTCAACATTTCTGGGGTGATGCTCTTCTTACTGCATGTTATCTCATTAATCGCATGTCTTCTTCGGTTTTAGATAATAAAATACTTCATTCCATTTTATTCCCTCATGAACCTCTTCATTCCTTACCTCTAAGAGTTTTCGGGTCTACATGTTTTGTTCATAATTTAAGTCCTGGTATTGATAAGCTTTCTCCTAGATCACATAAATGTGTTTTTTTAGGGTTTACAAGATCACAAAAAGGATACAAATGTTTTTCTCCTTCTCTTAACCGTTATTTTGTGTCTGCAGATATCACCTTTGATGAGTTCTATCTTTATTTTAAAAGTCAATCTTCACCTCTGTCTCCATCCAATCCTGTCAACACTCCTAGTACATTTAATGTTCCTGTTGTGTGTGACCCTCTAACTGTGTCTTCTTCACCATTAGTTCATATTCCACAATTAGCTTCTTCTCCACCATCTTTTCAGGTTTATAGTTGTCGAAATCAATCACAACCACCACCATGTGACTCCACTCAAGTGCCAACTACTCTGTCTCCTCCGGATCTAACACCTGAGTCTGACCTTCCCATTGCCCTCCGAAAAGGTATCCATTCTACACGTAATCCCTCTCCCCATTATATTGCTTTGAGTTATCATTGACTGTTATTACCTTTTTATACATGTCTTTCCTCTATTTCTTCTATGACCATTCCAAAAATTGTTTGTGAAGCTTTAACCCATCCTGGTTGGCGTCAGGCCATGTTAGATGAACTAAGTACTCTTCATAATAGTGGAACTTGGGAATTGGTCCCGTTATCGTCTGGAAAATCTGTTGTTAGTTATAGATGGGTCTTTGCTATTAAAGTTGGACCTGATGGTACTATTGATCGCCTCAAAGCTTGTCTTGTGGCCAAAGGTTATACTCAAATTTTTGGGTTGGATTATGGAGATACCTTTTCCCCCGTGGTGAAAATGGCTTCTGTTCATTTATTTATCGCCATGGCCGCTCTTCAACAATGGTCTCTTTATCAACTAGATGTTAAAAATGCTTTTCTCAATGGTGATTTGCAAGAAGAAATCTATATGGAGCAACCTCCTAGGTTTGTTGCTCAGGGGGAGTCTTCTGGGATGATATGTCGTCTTTGCAAATCCCTATATGACCTAAAACAGTCTCCTAGGGCCTGGTTTGGAAAGTTTAGCAAGATTGTTCAACAATTTGGTATGACTCGATGTGAAGTAGATCATTCTGTCTTTTATCGACACTTGAGTGCTGGATGTGTTTACTTGATAATATATGTTGATGACATCGTTCTTACAGGTAGTGACAACCATGACATCTCTCAGTTGAAACAACATCTATGTCACTATTTTCAGACCAAAGATCTTGACAAACTTAGATATTTCTTGGGTATTGAGGTGGCACAGTCCAATGATGGTATTGTTATATCTCAGAGGAAGTATGCCATGGATATTTTGGAGGAAACTAGGTTGATGAGTTCAAAGTCTGTTGATACACCCATGGATCCTAATACTAAACTTCTACCAAATCAGGGGGAGCCTATATCTAATCCTGAGAAGTATAGAAGATTGGTTGAAAAATTGAATTATCTTACAGTTACTCGTCTTGACATTTTCTTTGCAGTCAGTATGGTAAACCAATTTCTTAATTCCCCATGTGAAGATCATTGGAATGCAGTCATTCGTATCTTGAAGTATATTAAAAGATATCATGGAAAAGGATTATTATATGGTTCTAATAACCATACAAGAGTTGTTTACTACTTAGATGTTGATTGGGCAGGATCTCCTTCGGATAGAAGATCTACATCTGGATATTGTGTCTCTATTGGTGGTAATTTGATTTCGTGGAAAAGTAAGAAACAGAGTGTTGTGGCAAGATCCAGTGCAGAGGCAGAATATAGAGCTATGGCCTCAGCGTCCTGTGAACTTGTTTGGCTCAAACAATTGCTTAGAGAGTTACAATTTGGAGATATAACTCAAATGACACTTGTGTGTGACAATCAGGTTGTTCTTCATATTAGTTCTAATCCTGTCTTTCATGAGAGGACCAAACACATTGAGATTGACTGTCATTTCATTCGAGAAAAGATTATGTCTGGAGACATCAAGACTGAGTTTGTTAACTCAAGTGATTAGTTAGCATATATTTTTACTAAGTCTTTACGGGGGTCTAGAATTGATTATATTTATAACAAGCTTGACACATACGATTTGTATGCTCCAGCTTGAGGGAGAGTATTAGATATTGTTTATATATTGTTTAAATATTGTTAAGATATTGTTAAATATTATTAACCACAATATCAAACAATATATTCTGTTTATTTTGTTTACCTTCGGTTACTCTTTTAGTTGTACCTCTCTCTATTATAAATAGATTACCCTATGTGTGGTTTATACACAAGGGAGATTAATCTCAAACCGTATTTCCTCTATATTCAACAAATCCCAAATTAGTTTTAACCCTTATTCCAATATGAAATTAACCAACTAAGCGAAGATTAACCCCAAATTATCCTTAACCCTTATTCCAATATGAAATTAATCAACTAAGTGAAGATTAACCTCAAATTGTCCTTATACAATTAAGCATTGCATACATCACATAATCTCATCTCTAACACAAAATTAAGTAAAATGTGATATTAGTTTCGGTTTATTAAGCATAAACAGATTATAATTCAATACTGAGATTAGAAGATGAAGAGTTAAGAGAACAAACAAAATGAAATTGAAGAACAAAACCTCAAAGATCTACTTGCATTCTCCTCAGAAAATCAATATAAAGATTTAGCTATCCATGGAAAATAAAAAACGTAGAAGAAGAGACATAATTAAAATCGAAACAAGAATTTAAATAATGACAGAAGTGTAAACAAACTTGAATACAAATTGCAGAAGATGAAAAGCGGTTGTGTGGCTGCTGCATGGTGTCCTCTCCTCTAAACCCTACATCTCGCTTATATAAATAACCCTAACCCTAATCTTAATCTAGGTTTGGGCCCAATTGGTCCATAAAACACATCATAAGTTGGCTTCAATGCAGGTCTGTGAATTTCAAACATATGCAGTATTTTCAATACTTATCCAAATTAAGCGATTCCAGTCTCCTTTGAAATCCTTTTGAGTTAGATTTAAAATGCCATCATTCCTTCTATTTTCAGAGGTCTAATGAATTTAGGAGACTTAAATTACTGAAGCATGTCCATTGGGTCGGCCTGATGCACTTGACCCGTTTTGGATAATTTATGTAAAATCCAATTTAGCTCCGAATTGAATGATTCTGAATCCTTTGAAAATCTGAATGTGTGTAGTTTATAATGCTTCTAGAATCATGATTTTTGGAGCTTTGTAGAAAAAATGATAAATAAAATAGTGAACCAATGTTAGTACCTGTATAGAATAAAATATGACAATTAACCCAATTTTTCAAGCCCAAAATTGCTTTAAACTGTAATATGGCATCTGCCCCAATATTCTAGGCCCAAAATTGTTTTAAACTATCCTGAAAATAGTAATGAGCAAAAATTAGATCAAATAGATTCAAATTATTTAAAATTTGAATTATTGGCCAAATGAAGCCCAATTAATAAAAATCCACTAATAACAAAAAGTTAAGCCCAAAACACTAATTAAAATAAGTTCAAAAAGGGAAGAAAATATAGGAATATAATGACTCATTAGGTGTCAATGTGTTGTCTCATCATCAATGCACAAGAAAAACAGAGTCCATGTGAGCTATGTACCACATGGGTGCAACATCACCTCCTCGGTCAGCGTGTGGTCAGACTGTGTCCTTCACTGACTCATGTGCAATGTGTTATCTTGTCATCAGTGTTACAACCAAAATTGCAGCGGGATGACAAACAAAAAAAATTTTAAGATTTAAAAAATCATATCAGAGTTTATGAGTCACCACCATAGTTTATTCAGGAAAATTATGGAAAACCATAAAGATAAGACAAGGTCTAGGAAAACCGGATTCGGGTTCGGAAGTCGATTATGAGTAGAGAAGGTATTAGCACCCTACAAAGTCTGTCTTAAGACGATTACCCTTAGTTGAATGTGCAAAATTAAATGTCATTTTTTAAAATATTTATTTCCCCCAAAATTAGAAAACAAAGAAATAAAAAGAGAAAAAAAAATAGAATGAATAAAAATATTTTTATTTTTTTGGGGTTCGACAAGGATTGACCTTGCTCCTACGTATTATCATTTAAATTGAGAAATCAGGGTTATGTAGTTCTTTGTAGAAAAAGTTTGTGTGTTTGATTAATGCTGTGGAAATTTTTGTTTTTGAAAAAAGTTTTTGCATTTTGTTTTGGATGATTTGAATACACATGATGATGCATACATGCATACCCGTAAGGTTTATTTAAAATAGAGGACATGACGACGTGAACGGTCGTACCCGTACCTCAAAGTTTATTTAAAAGGAGAGGACATGACAACGCGAGTGGTTGTACCCATACCTCAAAGTTTGTTTAAAATATAAGACATGATGATGCGAACGGTCGTACTCGTAGCTCAAAGTTTATTATGGGAAAAGATAAGAAAATCATAAAGGCGGACATCCAAATATCCTAAACCAAGGCGCGAGGCCGATAGTCCTAGATCAGAACGCGGGGCCGACAATCCTAGATAGAATAACAAAAGACCGATATAGCTTCGACACAGCCCAAACAAAACACAACGAAAGCCTTAGACCAGACCCCATAAGACCAAAATAATAAAAAAGGAAATCTAAAGAAGAATCAACAATCAAGTTGTGAACCAAAAATTTTGCAGCATAACGATAGGAAATTTGATGTCCAGAATCAACAATCCACAACAGTTTATCAAAGCTAAAAACACAAACAGTCCATGCTACAAAGATGGTTCTAAACCTCACCCAACCCAGATATAGCTCAATTCAGTGCAAATAAGTAAAACACAGGAAAAGAAGAAAGAAGAAAAATAGAGAAAGGGGAAATGGTCTTGGTTCCAGATGAGACCTCTGCAGCGGTTACGACCAGGGCAAAAGCCGTGTTACAGCCAAAATCATGGGGAATAGGGACTATGGTCGCCGGTGACACGCGACTGGGGTGATTAGGATTGTGGAAGTAATGGCACAGAGGCTTTCCGCGACTAGGGGTGACCAAGGTCAAGGGCTCACATTTAGGTCAGGAAGGGACTTGCAAGCTTGCCACGGTCTTGGGGGGGGGCAGGTCACAGTTATGGAGAGGCTCAGTGACGAGGTTAGCAGTGCGACTCAGGCCAGTGGTGACTGGTCACACGGTGGGCAATTTGGGGAGGGCGAGACCGGGAGCCTAGGGCGGGCTCACAGTGGTTAGAGGCAAGTGAGGCACGATGGTAAGGGTGGAGGCGGTGGCCACCAATGGTCGCGACGCAATGAGGTTCGCTGAGGTGGTCATAATGGCGCCCAGGGAAATGCTGACGAGTGTGGATTAGGGCTGGAAATGGGAGGCTTGGTGAGAAATGTAGATGTGGGAGGTGTAGGATGGGAATGAGGGGGAGAGGGAGCCGATGAGTCGAAAAGGAAGAAATCAACGAGAAGAAACAAAATTACCGCATTTTTTTTAAGGATAAAGACATATACCTATTGGTAGTCAGTCTTCCTTCGGTGATGATGTCAACTCCTTTCTCAATTCCAATGATGATGTGTCCTTACGACCTCGTGCGGCTCCCAAGAACAAAATAAAAGAATCCCCCTTCTCTTTGTCACTATTTCCCCATTTTAATGCCAAAAATTAGGTTAAGTTTTGAGACATAGAGTAAAAAAATGGGTTGGGCTCAAAAAAATAAAATTTTGCCTCTTAAATTTTTATCCTAAAAGCTACTACTTAATTTTTCTTTTGTTTTTTTAAAAAAAGAAATTATTTTTTCATTTTTCATTTCTTAAAAACTGTAGTATGTTACTAAAGAAAACTATTATTAAAATATTTTTTCTTTTCTTTTCTTTTTCTTAAAAATTGTCTTTTTGTTTTTATTTTTTATTTTTTATCTACCCGGACGAAATTGGGTGCTGATAATCGATGCACGAGAAAAGCATGTGAGCTCCGCACCACGAGTGTGTCATGTCTCTCCTCGGTCACTGGTGCTTGTCTGACTTGTGGTTAGTGTTGTCACATCCTCAATCCAAAAGCACAGTGGAGTGCATGACACTAAGTCTTGATTGAAACATGGTCAATGACTTATCAAGGTGAGAGACTAGGTTTGCATGCACTGTACATGAAAAAATAATCGTTACTTTATTATTGCACTATACACTACACATGGAAAAATAGTTGTTATTGCATTATTGCATTGTACCTTACACGTGCAAAATTAGTTGTTATTGTATTATTGCATTATACACTGCACATGGAAAAATAGTCATTACTTTTTTAGATATATTTTACACCATTCATCTTCATTGCTCATGAAAACCTTCACCACCTATAAATAAAACCACTTACTATTGCTACCATCCATTTAATCAACTCATTAAATACCTTATGACTTCTATAACTTTTATTGTATTTGTCTACTATAATGACAACATCTTAATAGAAGAGAACCACTCTAACCACTATGTAAGTTCACACACGGCTTAGGTTACAATCAACAACACAATGCCAATGTCGGAAATGAAGCAAACAATCCTCAATCAATTCATTACAGTAATAGACAAGTCATTTGTTATCAACTTGTAATATAGGTATCCAATCTACATCTCTACCAACACATGTTCATATTTTTCATGCAGGATATTTGCATATGAAGATGTAGAACATGTGTTCTTTATGATAACAAAACAGGATCTGCAAGTTCAGGTTGAGATAATGGTGCACATTCGTGAAGACAACCCAAACCCAACCTCTTCTATGTCTTTTTAAGAAATGGAAAAAAAATATGAATGATCATCTGAAGTTAGAGTTATTGTTGTAATGAATACAAAAATATATTATGCATTTCAATTTTATGTTTACCTTTTGACTTTCTTTATAAAGAACAATATTGTCTCTTTAATATTCAACAATAGTTTTTGTTACTTTACAATGTTTATTAATGGTCATCATCTTAAAGAAACATGACTCATCACATAAAAACTTAAGTTATCGTGTCACTAACATGAAAGCTTAAGTCACTAAAATAAACACAACATTGCTAGACTGGATTTCACTTGACATGTAGTCAACGAGTTGTCAAGTAATTGGGTCCGCGTGCACAATAAAGTACATGTGACATCTTCGACACACGTGTGCCACATCATCGTCTTGTACCACGGGACAGTCAGACTAGTTCTCACTTGATATGTCGTTAGTGACATGTCAAGTCATTGGGTCTATGTGCACAATAAAGTGCATGTAAATCCTTTGACATGCATGTGCCACATCATCACCTCGTATCATAGGATGTCAAACTGAGTCTCACTTGACATGTTGTTAGTACCTTATCAAGTCATTGGGTCTCACCTACCACTCACATGACTACCTAGCTCTCATGTCACTCACATTTACTTAACTCTCATGTCACTCACATGCTTACCTAAACTCACTTATCATTCCCATAATCACCTAACTCTTATGTCACTCACATGCTTACCTAAACTCTCTTACCACTCACATGACTACCTAACTCTTATGCCAACCTAAACTCTCCTACCACTCACATAACAAACTAACTCTCATGTACTCATTACTATATAAATTCTACCTTACCATCACTTCTCACACCAATTGCTCCTACCTACCATCATTCTCCACGCCAATTCCTCATAACTTTAGACTTTCTCTATCTCCTCTATAGTCTTCTACATTTTCATCATTTTTATTGTTTTTTCTTTCATATAGATTCTTCCATTCGAGAAACCATATTTGATGATGGTGACATTGTTACTTGCCCTCAAACGATTTATTTTCCACAATGATAATGTCATCATGATGCGTATTCATAAAGGAATGACATTTGATCATTTCAAACAAACAGTTCTATAAAAATGTGGTCGATCTCTTCATGAACAACTTTCAACCATCACGTACAGATACCTCGTCCAAGTTTATGGCTCAAATGCGCATTACACTGCAACTACGCTTCAAGACGATAAATATTTAGAAGGGTTAATCAACATCAAAAACGCAAACCAAACATTGGCCAGAATTGAGATATGCACAACCTACCATCGAGGTTATTCCTAACCAATATCAAGATCAACACCATCACTCACAAACACAACCCACAACACAAATATTTGATTTGAACAACATCTATTCAGGATAATGGGAAGTTGATGTACAATCATACAACCAACTTTTAACTGGTCCATCTACATCAAATATTTCTCCCTCCCTCACCAATGGAATTACAACACCATTACCTTCTTTTTTATCCAAAAATGAAATTTTAGGATTTCCTTTAGTATCTTATAACCTTTTAGTGATAATGAGGACGACATCCTCACACAACATGCATATGAGGATGATGACAACTTAGAGGTGCCCCCATACAAAAAAAAATTCCAACATCATTTATCCCATCCATACATCCCTCCCTAACATTTTTGAAACATATACCACACTTCCTTATGAAAAAAATAGTGAGTTTGATCATGCATTTGAACATGAATTAGTGGAACATCCACTTGGATCATTATTTAAGGGAATGCAGTTCCAAAACAAGGAAGAAACAGTTGACCCACTTAATAGGTTCCACATAATGAATCATTGTACCTACAAAGTTACACATTCCAATACCATCGGATTAAGAGTGTAGTGTGTTGAGAGTCATTGCAATTGGAAGTGTCAAGCGATCTTGTGCACCAAAGAACAATTTTGGGAGATTCGAAAGATAAAAGGAGCCCACACATTTGCTATGCCTTTGATATCATAAGATCACAATAAGTTGGGGTCATGTATAATTTCACAACATATTCGTGAAATTGGGGATGCAGACCCTTCTACTCCTATTATAACTATTATTGTTCATATCAAGTCCTCATTTCGATACACTATGACATACAAAAGGGTTTGGTTGGCAAAGGAGCAAGCAATTAAAAATGTCTACGACAATTGAGAAGAAGAATCATTCAACAAATTGCCTAGCCTATTACAAGCCATGTCATAATTTCTTCTTGGTTTCTACTACTGATCAACCACACAACAACCATATTCTAGCGAGGACCAGGTATATTTTAAAAGACTATTCTGGACCTTTAAGCCATACATGGACGACTTTCGATATTGCAAACCACTAGTCCAAGTGGATGGGATATTTCTTTATGATAAATGTAGGGGTAGCCTACTACTAGTGTTAAGTGGCAAAAGTTGATGTAATTATGCTTTTAATTGTTATTTAACCACTTAAATTATGTTGATTTTAATATAATTTTCTCCCAATGTAGGATCGCCATAACTTAATTCATGTAGCATACACAATACCTAAGAGTCGATGGACAGAGGGTAATTATATGCGTGTGTACTACATTCGACACATTGTACAAAATTTTATGAGAAGATTCAAGAATGCAACTCTCAAAAAAGGCCTTGTCAATATTGGTAAAAACTTCTATTCTATATAAACTATTTTACTATGTCATCTTGTCTATTCTATGTTAACTTTTATCACTTTAATATGCAGCATACGTAATGACTGAGCCAAGAGCAAACTACTACTATACCATCGTAAGGCAAGCCAATCCAAAAGCAGTAACTTGGATTGCCGAAATTCCCAGGAACAAATGGGCACTTGCATATGATGATGGTAGAAAATGGGGTCACCTAACAACCAACTTAGCTGAATCCATCAATTCAGTCCTAAAGAAAAAAAGGAATATGTCAATCTCCTCCATGATCATGGTCACATACACAAGATGCAAAAAAAATTTCATAAAAAGAGGGAGACAAATCACAACAATGATTAATGTTGGTCATGTCCATTCAGAAGTTGCATCAAAGGTCTTACAAGATCTGGGACAGCTCAAGGATTTGGGAGGCCTAAAACAAATTTAAGAATGAGACCTTTTATTTAATAATAAAATAATTTATGTTAAAATGTATCATAGTTTTATTTAAAATTTATTTTTCGAGCTTTTTGTGATGCAAAATTATCTATTAAATTATCATAATTAATTTTATTTGACATTTCTTTTTCAATAGATAATAAAGCCAATTCATTTAATCTTTGTTGAAACATGGTTGATCTTAAATAATTTTTTATTATTTTTAATTTTAAAAAACTTCTTTCAACTGAAGCAACCGATACTTGGAATTGTTAACATTATTCTATAAGTTATATATGCATTTGGAAAAGAATTTATTCTTTTTATATAATTAAGAATGTCAATTAGTTTATCATTTTCCAATCCTATAATTTCCTTTAAGATATTTAATTATGAAAATAAATCTAATCCATTAAGATCTAACAAATTATCATGTTTCAAAGAATTTTCAAGGTTTAAACATTTTTCTTTCAAAAGTATATAGTCTAGTGATTTTAATTTTTTAACACTAAATAAAAAACAAAAAATATC